CATTTTATACAACGTTATCGAATGAAACGAACAGTTCTTACAGCAGATGGACGTCGACAATGGGTAAGAATAGTTAGAAAGTCTTGTTTTTATTTCTATAAAATAAATTTGTTCTATAATAGAATCGATCAGTAAAATTAGGTGCGCAACTTATTGCAATAGGTATGATTTATGTGATTGGTTGGGTTCCATATTCGCTCATTGTATTGATCCAAATGTTTAAAGGTTTTGAAGAACTTGCTGATATTCTTTCGAGAGTTTTGGCTTATTTCCCATATTTTCAAGAATTAATACTTCCCTTTGTTGCTATTTTATACATGCCAGAAATAAAAGGAAAACTTATTGCTTTTTGTATGTTTCCATGCATGAATATTAAACGACGTCATCAAAATCAAGTTCAAGTCATTCATAATCAAACCACTATAACTAATTTTCAATCACGAATTGTTAATCGTCGCTAATTATAAACAAATACGTTTTTTATTTAATATTAAATTAAATATTTTGTACATTGATCTAAATATTTTGAGAAAATAAAAAAATCTATATGCTGTACTTATTGATGTTGGGTAAAATTAATTCTAAAGAAAATCTATTAAATAAATTCTTGTCACTTTTAAGGCTTCCCCTCCAAAAAAAAGTTAGTTTTTGTCAGAATGAACGAAATTAGGATAAATACAAGAAAACATAGCTTGTGGTCTGATCTATAAGAATCAATCAGATGTTTTATTCGTCATTTCCTTTTATTTTCAACTTTTAAAAAACGCTTTTTGTTATCATTCCCTTACAAAATATGCTGTTATGAAGAATACTAAAAAATCGTTTTCGTTTTTCCTCTGCTTATGCTTTTTTGATTGCGCATCCCAGAATTCTCGAAAGAGCTTCATGGTTGTTAAGCGGCTTATCCACGTATAACGTGACACTTCGCTGATCAAGTTCCGAAAAAAAATTTTTTCGAGTTGGATAGATTTGAATGAGTTACTAGATACAGTCTTTTACGCTGACTACGAATTTAAGACTTATTTTATACAAAAATTAGATTTTAGCATTGAAAACCGGGCTTTTAAACGCTAAAAAAAATTTCGTCTAAAATATTTCTACTTAGA